AACTGAGATAAGCAATTCTTTATAACATACATGGCGCAAATTCTTAAAGATATAAGTTAGGCGTCGAACCCTTCTAGACATAGTATCTATATGCTTATCCCATTTTAAATGTTGATCTAAAATTACACCTAGATATGTGACAAAATCTGTTCTCGAAATATTCTTACACACACAATTTAATTTGTTAAAGCAGTTGTGACATTTAATGTTATATGTGTCTCGTTTGGGTAATGAGTTAGACCTTATTCCATAAGCAATATACTGAGTTTTATCAATGTTTAAGGTAAGTAAATTATTATCCAGCCACTTGCTAACAGTGTTAAGACCTTCCTCCGCAATTTTAAAAGTAGTGTACCATGACTTAGAACTAAAGGTGAGAACCGTATCGTCTGCATAACTGAGTATTTTTCCGTTTTTAAGCTCCAATCTACATAAACCATCTATATAGATCAAGAATAACGTAGGTCCCAGGATACTACCCTGCGGCACACCAAACTGGATGCTGGATTCAGAACTAAACATTCCTTCAATTTTTAGAACTTGTTTTCTATTTGATATGTTATCACTAAATAGTTTTAGAGGTGTGCCACGTATACCAATAATTTCTAGTTTTTTCATTAATATAGGGATAGAGACTGTATCAAAAGCCTTGGCCAAGTCCAGAAAGATACTAATACATTTTTCACCAGCATCTATCCTATCAACAACATAAGAAACTAATTCTTCTAAAGCATTATTAGTCGACCTATACTGTCTAAATCCAAATTGGTTAGTGGGCAGTAGTTTAAATTTCTCAAGATAATTTATGAGTCTCTTGTTAATAATCTTTTCTAACACTTTTGATAGCGATGGAAGAATAGAAATTGTTCTATAGTTTGATATGTCGTCTTTGTCCCCTTTCTTGTATAGAGGTATGATGATTGATTTTTTAAGAGTATCCGGAAAAACGCCTTGTGATAGACATAGGTTGACAATATACGTAATTGGAGTAGCAAAAATATATGAATATGTTTTCAAGAAATGTGACGGAATGCCATCCCAGCCAGCTGAAGAAGTGGTTTTCAATGTTTTAAGAGTAAGAATAATCTCATGTTCATCAGTGGGAAGAAGTACGCATGAATGAGGATAGGAATATGAAGAAATTATAGTTTTACTAAGCTTGCTTTCAGTAGTTGTAGTTCTTTGAAAAATATTTTCGGCTAATCGATTTCCAGTGGTAGCAAAGTAATCATTAGCACAATTCAGCGAGTCTAAAATAGTTGATTTAACTTGAAGAAGGTTGAAACAGCTTTCCTTTTTCTCATGTAAGTTACAAATACGTCTAATGTTCTTCCATTGTTTTCTGGTATCACCTTGGGTTTTCAATAATTCTGATCTTTCATAGGAATTTTTAAGTTTTTTTAGCAAGGTATTGCAAGTATTTCGATATCTTATGTAAGTTATCTTAAAAATAGTATTTAGAGGGTCAGATTTCATTTTTTGGTGTAATCTATACATTGACGACGCCTTGAGAATTTACCTGTTAAATGTGCAATTATCAGGATTATTTCTATTATTAAAATCATAGTCACCCACAGAACAAGTAATCATTTTGGAAAAAAGTTATTTACTAAAAATAACCACTATTACACTCTAAACAATTACCAAATATCTAGGAGATAGTTCTTGTGTACCGATCTGTCATTCAAAATCGGTTACAGAGTCAAGAATGAGATTTGGTATCCTTTTCTATCTTGCATTTTTGCCATAAGTCAAAAAAGTCAGTTTTGCCATCAATTTCGATATATTTTAAAATGTTGTATCGTTTTTTTCGTCGACCAACCGTCAGTAGAGAAAATTTATGGAACTTATCTTTACATCATTCAAATGATGACGATATATCGATATTTATCACGCGATATATATCGATACTGTTTAAAAATATGGATTCGATCTATATCGATATATTTTTTCCCTTTGCCCATCCCTATGGTATGGTGTCTACCTATAATTATAATTAATTAATTATAGCACTTCTTACTAGTTTGTGGGTGTCTACCTTTGCTTTTTTTAATAACTGGCTTTAAGGCTCTGGGTCCTAGCCCTTCTGAGCCTGAAGTTACAATGTATAATTATCCTTCATAGTACACTGCTTCACAATACGTTGATGCGTCACATTATGCAGCCCTTGGGAGATTTTGACGGCAACTTGAACCAGCAGACAGCTGAAAGTTGGCGATGGTATCTCAAGGCGCCTAAGCATAATCAGACAGACTTTATCTTGAGAATCACATTACCATGAGAGCACTTGTTTCACCGTTTCCACTACTTTCCACCGTTCACATGCGTAGACATTTAATACACAAAATCGCACTACTTTTACATATCAAAAATCACTTCAAACCATTTTTAAACAATAATACAGGAGCAGCAATCCGTCGCCGGTCAAACTCCCGCCAAAACTCTCGGCTCTCGTTTACCTTTGAGAATTGTAACAACCACAGAGTACCTTTCACAGAGCACTTTTTTTGGTACCTTTCACTGACTTAGTTACTTAAAAAGTAACGACAACTGAAATGCCTCATCCACACGCTTGGCAAACAACGGCGAATAGCAAACACCAAACAGCAATCACCAACGTGTGGATGGTTGTTCGCCTGTTTGTTTGTTTGTTTGTATGTGATTGCCAATGATCAGCGTTGGTGTCGGTTTTTATGCACCGATCAAAGGGTGTTCGACAAACGTGTTTGCGATGTATCCACACGTTTGGCGATCAGTCAGCGCGAGCTTGCGGCTTGCGGGCGGCGGAAGGAATTACTAGTGGCTATTATTATTATACACTATACTCTACGCCAATGTTACCAATCCGAAATTTTTCTCGGAGGTAAATATGATTTCAGAAGTTGAATTTCCTACCAATTCTACTTCGAAAAGTTAGTTGATCTACCACCTATATTTTTTTAAGTTTTCTAGTGACCTTCCAATAATAATGTGAGTGACTCCTAATTAATGTTTCTATTGGGTAACAAATATTTCACCTCTTTTTATAAGGAGCCCCGTGTGAAAGCAGGATCATTGATCATCAATTCCCAAAATAAAATCCGAAAAAAATATATAAGATTAGTATATCCTATATATCGATAAGTTTAGTATATCCTGATTTAATAGTTTTTAGACTTTCGTAGTTACACAACAAGTAACCCTTATACTTTCACCATGTCCATCCGCGGCTTTGCTCAGACCCTAAGTACTACAAATCAAAATGTTATAAATATTAATCACGCCTAGAAAACTGTGAAATAAAATCTTAAAAACATTTTTATTTTGGGTACTTCCCATACAAGTAAATGGAGGATGACTTTTTACGTGTCTATTCTATCATGTGGGGTATCGTTGGATAGGTCTTTCAAAAACATTGGGGGTGTTGAACAACATCTTTTCGATTCAGGGGTCCGTTTGTGAAATATTTAGCTTTAAAGTGGTATTTTTCATTAGAGTCATGTGTCCCCCCCCCCCCCCCCTTCCTCCTATACCAACATAACCGATGTTTATCGAAATATGAAAAGTATACCCAATAGTAGGTTATATAATGCAGTTCAAAGGAAAACTATCACAGCTAAGTAGAATCAAGAAGTTAAAGAGTAATAGTTGACCAACTTATAAAATACACTTGGATTAGTAAAAATTTCGTTACATTTTCATAGAAAAGACCTAAGACTACCTGCATTAATAACTTTGTAATGTTATTGTAAACTGTTAAAAATAAACATTTTATGAAGAAAACGGCACATATGCATTACTACTATTAGTTTTGGCGAAGCGCTTAAAAAAATAGTACCTATATCTTTTTCATTCCATAAAAAATAAACAATTGTGCGTTTTGAAAATATTGCTATTAAAGTGTATGAGGCGCTTCGAATAAAGTTAGAAATGTTAAAAGTAAATAGATTCAATATAATGTCGAACGAAAGTTCGGCGTTCGATTACCCGGTCAAGCATTAATTTCATAAAACTTTGTTTTTAGATTAATTTAGAGTCACGTGTTACATAATAATCAGCTATGCAATACGAATAAAAGCGTTCAAACCAAACTTGTTTGAACCTGAAGATAATTTATAGCAGTGATAATTGAGAGCATTTGAGATTCTATGGCAAATAAATTCTTCAATACAATAACCTGGAGAGCAATTCATATTGCCTTATTTTTAAATAAAAATAGGTCAACCCGAAAGTAATCGCTGCCACAAGCTCCTCGTCCGTCATGTTTGCCTATCCGGAATATACTAGCACGTTCGCCGAGCGTGTGGATGCCGCGTTTGTGTTGGGTGAATGTGGTCGGTGTTTGTTTGTGTATGGTGTATGTGACAAACACCAAGCGTGTGGAGGCGGCATCAAGTGACTAACCAAGCGAGTTTTGGCGGGAGCTTGACCGGCGGCGGTTTGCTGCTCCTATATTATAGTTTAAATATTAGTTTGAAGTGGATTTTGATATGTAAAAGTGGTGCTGTTTTATGTATTAACTGTCTACGCATGTGAACTATTAGTGGAAACGGTGAAACAGCTGCTCTGATGGTGATGGATTCTCAAGATAAGCTGTTTGTCTGCATAAACGCCTTTAGATACCATCGCCAACTGTCAGCTGTCTGCTGGCTCAAGTTGCCGTCAAAATCTCTCAAGGGCTGCACAATGTGACGCATCAACATATTGTGAAACAGTGAACTATGAAAGAATATTCAAAATAAAAAAAGACAAGGCTGTATGGCTTAGTTCCTTTGCCTGCACTCTCGAGCGAATAATAAAAACAACAACTAACCAAAACAAAGAATAATATTTATATTTATTTTGATTTATTTAATTTATTTTGTATGTAATTGTAATACAAATAATACATAAATATACCTTTCACACTCAAATCCATGCTCATATTTCCTACGAGTGTTTGGTGACTTTCAAATATGTTTAAATATTATTAAATAATAACTTTATAAAGATCACAAGATCTCTTCTCTTGAATTAATAAGATGGAACTTATTGAAATTAGTAATACTATAAAACATATACCTAAGTATGATTACAGCAGCTATGAAATTGTGACTGTGGATAGTTTTCACTTAAAGTATGAAGATTTTTATGAAAAATTTATGCTAAAAAATTTGCCTTGCATAATTCAAAACATAAGTGTGAATTGGGATTGCTCAAAGAATTGGGTGGAAAATGGAAATATAAATATTGACTACATCATATCAGAATATGGTAACTTAGAAGCTCCAATTGCAGATTGTAATAAAATAAATTTTAATGCTCATTGTAAACAGAACATGGAAGTGAAGGATTTTATGTCTTATTTAAGAAATAGTAGAAAAGAAAATTTATTGTATCTAAAAGACTGGCACTTGAGAAAAAATAAACCAAATCATAAGTTTTATGATGTACCTGAGATCTTTGCTTCAGATTGGCTGAATGAATTTGCTGAAGATAACAATGAAGATGACTTTATGTTTGTTTATATTGGGCCAAAAGAGTCATGGTATGAATTTATTGTATATTTTTACATAGTGCACCATTTCCCATTTGCCGGGTCGCGACACGGTACCGGGCCATCAAAATAAAATACCGGGTCGCAACATTATAATGGAACCAGCTTTGGTTTAAAAGTATTAAGTGGGTCACGAAGGTATAGTGTGAAAATTACCGGGCCGTGGCAGAACAATGTTTGGAAAACACTGCAGTAGTGTATGAAAAAATCTACTTTATACATAAATTACCAGTTTAAAACAAAATTAAAGCAATTTTTTACTTGTTCCACAAAACTAAAGTATAAGAATATATTGAATTATTTTAGCCCAATGTAATAAATTTCTTTAAAAAAAATTTTGGCATTTGGTAGATAGCATTTAAATTTCTTTATTTCACATACAAAATACGTAAGTTAATTTAATTAAGTATGTGACATTGGGTGCTAGAATCTCAACTCTGTTCTAGCATGGCAATTATGGTAATTCCTCTCTACTACGGGAGTGTCTATGTCCAGCAGTGGGGATTCTTTTATGTTTGAAAAAGGGAAAATATAAGTCTTATAATAAATTTATAAAACAATCCCTGTTATTCAAGTGAACAATTATACTTATTTTATTATCTATTTATTGCTTTGGATTTGCATATTACGAACTAGTCATGATAGATACAGTAAAAGTAAAAAATTAGTATACTGTCTCTGCTGTCAATTGTTTTCTGTAAAAAATGTAACATAGGTAACTCATTAATACTTTTAGAAATTAGTGCCAATTGTTATTTTACATTTGGGATGCTTGTCTTTGAATAAAAACTCAGTAAGATGAAAAAATGGGTAACTATGTAAAACTGTTTGTGTAGCATTTTTTTAAATTAAGATAAGGTTTTAGAATGAAATTTAATTAGTCTAGCTTTAATGTTACAATAATTTAACACACATAGAGCAGCTAAATGCTTGAGCAATTATGAGTTGAAAATAGTACAGAGATAATTCCTTATTTTGTGTTTTTGTTCTTTCAAAGTACATACAGTTACAGCTTCTCAAAAGTTCACTGCTGAACATAGCCCCTCTCCCCATAGCAAATGCATTTGAAGTGTTAAGAATATTTTAACTCTTAACCAACATTAATGAAAGGAAATGTTGAATAAGACAGGTTTATATTTGAAACGCAAGAAGATAAAAGCACAAGAACTGTGGGTCTGTCCCCCTGAATCTGGCACTTCTGACATATAATTTCTTTTGTTTTTTCCAATAACAATAATATTGGAACTTGAATTAGATTATTTCTTTACAGGACTTCCTTTCACTCCGATGTTTATTCATCATATAGTTGGTCTGTAAATATAATAGGTAGAAAAAGATGGATTTTACTTCCTCCCGGTGAGGAAAATAAGCTGAGGGATCAGTTTGGAAATTTACCATTATTATTTAACCCCCAAGAAGCAAATAATGTAAAGTTTTTTGAAGTTATTCAAGAAAGAGGGGATGCAATATTTGTTCCATCTGGATGGCATCATCAAGTTGTTAACATTCTTGATACAATTTCAATTAATCATAATTTCATTAATGCAAGTAATGTGGGTCTTGTATGGGAAGCACTGCAACAAAATCTTATATCTGTTGAAAATGAAATTCAAGAATTTAGGAATACTATTGATTTTATCACTCAGTGTCAGCTTATCCTTAAATCAGTTTTTGGAATGGATTATACAATGTTTATGAATCTTATCATACACATAGGAACTAAAAGAATACAACAGTTTTATGGTAAAAACTTTTCAACTTTCCATAAATTTGCATTTGGAAAAAATCACATTATCTTTGATTTAAATATCATATCTCAGTTATTATGCCTAATTCAAAAACATCCTTTGTATAAAAGTGAATGTACCACACCAAGCATAAAAGAAAGTGTATTAAACATCTTAACAGCTATTGAAATGTTAAATAAATAAATAAACTACACTTTTATAACTTTGATTTTTTATTGGCATATATAAAACCTCCGCTTATTAACTCTTCAATTTCAAGGTAGCTGTATCCTAACTCTAATAATATTTGAATTGTGTTTTCTCCAGCTTTTGGTAAAGGTTTTCTTCCCGATGAAATACCAGGTGTTCGAGACAATTTTGGTGATGGTTCTGGCACAATAAAATTATCATTATCTCTATAAAATGAATTCCGTGACCTACTACAGTCGTGTGTATCAACATTGTCAATATTTAGAACAGGAGTGACACAGGCATCCAGTTTATCAAATATTTTACACCATTCTTCTTGTGTTTTTGACAAAAATATCTCCTGAAATTTCATTTTACAACTCTCTGGATTTACTCCTTGCTTATATTCAACCTCAGATAATTGCAATCCTTTTAGCAAATTTTTGTAAAATTGGGGCTCTAAAGCTCCTACTGCCATAAATTTACCATCTTTTGTTTTATACGTAGAATAAAATGGAACTCCTCCATCTAACATATTTGTTCCAGGCTCACCAAGCCATATGGGTAATTTCCTTGATTTAAAGAGCCATGTTCCTAAATAAGCCGTTCCTTCTGTCATGCTACAATCAATTACTTGCCCCTTACCAGATTTACTTCTTTCTAAAAGGGCCAATAGAATACCTACCACACATAATAAACTGCCCCCAGCAAAATCAGCAACAATGTTAACAGGCACAAAGGGAGGTTGTTTATTTTTACTAAATAGTGACAATATACCTGACATAGCCACATAGTTTATGTCATGGCCAGCTTTGTTTTTAAAATATCCTTTTTGCCCAAAGCCAGATAATCGAGCATATATTAGACGAGGATTGTCCTTTAAAAGTACATCTGGACCTAATCCCAATTTTTCCATGACTCCAGGGCGATAAGTGTCCAATAAAATGTCTGATGAAGAACACATTTTCTTCAGTATTTCAACACCCTTATCAGTTTTTAAGTTAATATTAATTGTTTGTTTGCCATTTGACATGACATCAAATACGTTGGACAGTAAATTAATCTGTGAAAAAACATTTGAAATTAATAATAAAATGTGAATATACACAAGAGTTGGTGTTTAAAATTATTTACACCACCATCAAACTTGAGGCAGGAAAAGTAGGAAAAGGGAACATGTTATCATAATACCCTCCTAATTAAACCAATGTTTTATTAGATATAATGATATGGTTGAGCTATTTTAAGGAAAATGGGATGTGACTTTCCAGAAAGTGTAATTCATGATATCTTAGGGGCAAAATTTTGTATTTCATATAAGTACACCAGTAGTTGGGTTCAATCCCCGTGAGTAAAAATGAAATTGTTAGTTGCAATTTTAAGTGCTGATTTCAACACATGCTTGGTGTTTATGCAATTGTATAATGGTGCTAAAAAAAACATCGAGAGTAAATGTGCATGTCTGAGGACAAAATAATAACAGGACTTGAGAAGCCTGTCATTATGCACTGGAGCAGTGCACCAGACTAATTGTCCATAACACTTGAAGAAATGTGCCAGCCATGAGAAATATAATATAAGCTGTAACTTTATACACATGTCCATCCATAAAATGATCTAAATTTGGATCTAGATTTGGTCGAAGTGTTTTGTTTAGTAATTCATAATGTATAAAACAAATAATTAGAATTATTTTCCTGCAACCTACATTCTATCCAAAAGTATGAGAGGTTTTTAGTATGTTAGTGCATTTTACCACCAGACTAGTGAAGCAAAATTTGTCATCAGATAGGACTGCAATATGGCTGCACCCCTCTCTGGTGCAACCACGTAGCAAAATTAAATTAAATTAATTAAAAAAATACAGACAGTATTATTTTAACTTCCTATCATATTTTCAAATATACACTTACCTTTTGGATAACAGTAACAGTAGCTCCAAAATCTGCTAATACTGTTCCACAAAACGGACCTGGTGCCAATCCCATCATTTCTATTACTTTTATGCCCTTAAGTGCCATTATTAACGGAAGTCTCTGTTTTTAAATAAATTATTAAGCTTGTATTGGACTTTGGTTGGGTTTTGTTTAGATAGCGCCAGTCAACTGTGTATATGTGACTAAAACGTAGTGATTATATACTCTTTGTAGGTGACCTTCTACTCGCGGCGGATCCCGCGAAGTGATAAAGCGATAATATAGTAGAAGAGCGATGTCGACGACAGTCAATTCAATTAATATAAATATGTATGTAGGACTACTAAATACTAAAATAATACAACTAGTACTAGTTAGTCTGTGTAGAACTAGGACTGACTAACCCCCAATATATATAATGTACTCTGTGCTGACTAACTTGGTAACTTGACCTGGCCATCGTGACCATCTTTAAAATACAGATCCTGCCTTACTTTGGTCAAAAACCTGCTAAGGCCGGCCATATACATACGGAATTCCGTTTCGTGATTCCGTTTCGGAATCCCGAATCGGGATTCCGTGAATACATCACACACACACGTTTTTTTTCCGTTCGGAATAACAAGGGTCAGTTGAGAGACGTTAGCCATTGAGTCTAGACATTCTGCCAGCGAATAATGACGACGATTTTCTAATTGCAAATTACATTGTTGCTGTATCATTCTTACTAGGTGCATCCCCTTATCACCCTAAGCTTGCATAATAGTCAATACTATGTAAAAAGATCTATCTATCCAGAGATATTTTTAAAATATTTATGTATGTAAATTCTATCGAGGAATTATTGAATAAAAGCTATACACCTACAAGATTAAATTTAAAAACATACATAAATACACCTACTCGCTTCGGTCGTGCGACGAACACTGAGCGCATTCCGTACGGAATTTACGTATGTATGTTGCGACTCGTACAAAATCTATGGAAGACGTGCGTTCGGAGCGGCTTTTTTCCATTCGGGATCCCAAACGCACAGACGATCATACGGAATCTCGAATCGGAGAAATTCCGTACGGAAAAATAACGTACGTGTGTGGCGGGTCATAGATTTTATATGGACTTGCTGCGTTCGGAATCCCGAATCGGAATATCGAAACGGAATCTCGAAACGGAATTCCGTATGTCTGTGGCCGGCCTAAATCGTATAAACTAAGAAAAGTAAAATACACATTTAGGCCGGCCACATACATACGGAATTCCGTTTCGAGATTCCGTTTCGATATTCCGATTCGGAATCCCGAACGCAGCAAGTCCATATAAAATCTATGACCCGCCACACACGTACGGTAGTTTTCCGTTCGATATTTTGCGGGTAAAACGGGATTCCGTTTGTGTGTGGCCGACCGTTCGAAATTCCGAAACGGAATCTCGAAACGGAATTCCGTATGTATATGGCGGGCCTTAATGACCAAATGGAAGTTAGCGTAGAACATTCTTTTTTTTTAACTAAACTATATGCCAATTAATTGCTCCTTAAATGCTCCAGAAGAATCCGAAATTGCTTTACCTCTATTGTTATTAGTTAATTTATTATTAATTTTTATAAAATTTAAGTATCGACAATTCAATTTTGCTATAAAATATAAAATATCTACGTTTTAAAATTAAACTGTATGCCAATTATTTGCTCCTTAAATGCTCCAGCAGAATCCGAATTTGCTCCACCTCTATTGCTATTAGTTAATTTATAAATAATTAAAAAAAAATTTAAGTATCGAAAATTTAATTTTGCTAATAAACAGAAAATATATAGTTTTTAAAATTAAACTGTATGCCAATTATTTGTTCTTTAAATGCTCCAGCTGAATCCGAAATTGCTATACCTCTATTGCTATTATTTAATTTATAATTAATTTTAAAAATATTAACCAGAAGGAAGTTAGCGTAGAACATTATTTTTTTAAATTAAATCGTATGCCAATTAATTGCTCCTTAAATGCTCCAGCAGAATCCGAAATTGCTCCACCTCTATTGTTATTAGTTAATTTATTGAAAACATCTTCCAATGCAGCGGTAAAGTTTCGGGGATATGACGTCACCCTGTCTTACACCTCTCTGCAATTAGATAGGTTTCGTACTCTGGTTCTGTACTCGGATAGCCATCGTAGCCCTACTGTACAAGCACTTCAACACTTCGATATACCGACAGTCAACTTGGCATCGCTGAAGGGAAGTCGTCAAGTCTGCGCGTGAGACGATTCGTAATGACTCTCGAAAACAGCACGTAGACGCAGCTCAGAAGGGAAATCGGTCTGTAGTTCTTCAAGAGAGCGTTATCGCCTTTCTTGAAGAACAAGACCACCGCACTTCTGCTCCACGCCTCCGGTGTAATGCCACCATGGAGGACGGAATTAAAGAGCTTCTGAAGGACTTCAAGTACCGGTTTTCCATCCGCTTTCAGAAGCTCCGCTGTAATTCCATCCTCGCCTGGGGCCTTGCCGTTTTTAAGGTGCTGGAGAGCCATTCTAATCTCGCTCAGACTGACGTCCGGGATATCATCGGAATAATGTCGGATAAGACTCACTTTTAGATCGTTACACACACTTGCGTGCGGCTCCAACGATGACGTGTACAGCTGCCCATAGAACCTCTCAATCTCACTCAAAATCTCAGGTGCCCCGGAAACGATGCTGCCACATTCGGTCTTCAGCTTTAACAGTTGGCTCTTTCTGGCAGATAGATCTCTGGCAAAGACTTTGGAGCCTTGGTTCCGCTCGATCGCTTCTTCAATACGAGCTGTATTGAAGTTGCGTAAGTCCCGCCGCATGCATTTGTAGATCTGTCTGTTCAGTTGCCTGTATGCTGTCAAATCTGTTGAAGAATGTAGCTTCATCTCCCGTCTAAGAGCCATGAGATTAAGAGTGTGATCGGAAAGTTTTTGTGTTCTTCTGCGGCGGGTCTTGCAGAACTTAGCTCCGACCGCATGGACAGTTTCCACGAGCTTGTCATTCAAATCGTCCACTTCATTGCAGTCTTCTAGGCACTGAAAACGGTTTTGTAACTCGAGCTGAAAGGTTTCGGGACTTTGGATTAGAGCAC